TCGGCCGTCTCGGGAGCGTGCGGGGCCCTCCCCGGCGACGCGCGAAAAAAAAAAGGGCGCTCGGGAAGGCCAGCGGGGGCGTTCCAGAGGTCCCGACGCCTCCCGACGAGGCCTTCTCCCTCTCGCTCCCCCCCCCCCCGCTCGCCGCCGACGAGCGGCCCATCGAGGGGCTCTGGGTGAGCTCCCTGGGAGCGCGAGCCCCCCGCCAGCTGCCCCCTCCCGCGCCGCGCGCCCCCCAAGACGGGGACCTCAGCGGGGCCACGCCTTCCTCGTGCGAATTGCAAAGGAGAGGAATGAACCACATAAACATAAACGTGTGGCGCTCCGCGCGTGGATTTCTTGGATTCGCGCTGGGCCCCACTCCCTGGCGCGCGGCGCGCGCCAGGGGCGGCGCCGGAGGCGCCGCCGGGGGGCCCAGGGCCGGATACAAGAAATCCGCGCGGAGCGGCAAGAGTTTATGTTCACGTGGCTTTTCCTTCTTCGATTATTAGGGCTGGGGCTTCTGCTGAGCATTTTCTTAGGGTGGGGGGCTCAGGGTGAAATCCATATGTGCTTTTGCACCTCGAACATCAATCCGTCTTGTGATTCACCTCTTGCAGATTCAAGCCTCGAAAATCCATCGAAACGGCATTGCAAATGTCACCCTTTGCCCTCCACCCACACACAATGCTCGATGTTGTTCTCGATAACGAGACGAACTTCTCCGGGCTCATCGCAGAGCGCCGGCATGCCGCCCGAACGGGCCCGCGGCTTCCCCCCCGACTCGGAGACGGCGTGCCGCCTGCCTCGTCGGGGCAGCGGCAGTCTGCAAGGCTGGAGGGGTGGCGGCCTTCGACAGTGGCGGCTCTCGCCTGAGAGCCGCGCACATACAGTGGAGGCTAGTCCACAAGAAACCTTCAACAAGAAACCCAACCCTGGGACCTCAGGACGTCCATTGATGTTTGGTGTGGAACGTCACGCTGTCCATAGCAAAACCATCGAAACCCAAGCAACCCAGGGCACCCTGGAAGCAAGCAGGGTGTTTCTTGGCATGGGCCCCCACTGTACGTTGTGGAACCGTCGATCAGTCACAAACATGGAAGATAGTTCGTTTTCATGCTGGAGCTCTCTCTGGAGTCTTCCTCGAGCTAGTGGTATCAGGTACAAGCTCGGGCCATAACTGCACGGAAGGAGGACGGCCCATGCGCCAACCTTTTGGAGACTTCCCCAAGCTTACCAGCCTGGAACATATCCATATCCCTATGCTGGGCATCTCCTCGTCACGATGCCAATCTTAGGGATTCCCATATTTTTTGAGGGCGCATCCCTAAGATTGTCATCGCCTTTTGGCGCGTCAATCTTAGGGATAGGGATAAGTTCGAGGCTGGTAAACTTCCCCGAGCAGCTTGCAAGACACACAGCGCACTCGCGTGCCTTTCCCAGAGCGGGCCCTCGCTGGACGCGCACACGACGCACGTGAGCGGCGTGATCAAACCCCTTCTCTGGCTCGACAGCTAAAGGAGGAGGGAGGAGGAGGGGGAGGAGGGGGAGGAGGAGGAGGAGGAGGAGGAGGAGAGGAGGAGGAGGAGGAAGGAGGAGGAGGGGAGGAGGAAGAGGAGGAGGGGGAAGGAGGAGGAGGAGGAGGAGAGAGGAGGAGGGGAGGAGGAGGGGGAGTTGGGAGGAGGAGGAGGAGGAGGAGGAGGCGGAGGAAGGGGGAGAAGGAGGAGTATTCGAGAGGAGGGGCAGAGGAAGGAGGAGGAAGGTGGAGGAGGATGGAGAAGGAGGAGGAGGAGGAGGAGGAGGAGGAGGAGGAGGAGGAGGAGGAGGGGAGGAGGGGGAGGAGGAGGAACTGCTAAGTGGACGCGTGGCAGCTCCCGCTCGAAAGCCAGGGCCGCCCACTGCCTGGCAGGCGACAGCGGGGCGCTCGTCTTGCGGTGGGGGGCGCCTCCTGCCGATGCCCGCGGCGACTCGTGGGGAGGGTGCCGTGGGTTGGCGGCGCGCAAAGGGGGGGGGGGGGAGAAGAGGAAAACACTGAGAAGGAGGAGAGGGAGGAGGAGGAGGAGGAGGAGGAGGAGGAGGAGGAGGAGAAGGAAAAGGATGAGGGGGAGGAGGAGGAGGAGGAGGAGGCGGAGGAGGAAGAGGAGGAGGAGGAGGAGGAGAAGAAAGGGGAGGAGGCCAGCGCCTCCTGAGAAGCAGGGGCACTTCCAAGAAGCCTTCCCCCCTCGCCCTGCCCCCTCTGCGCATGGCCGAGTGGGACGCGAGGGTGGGAGCAGTCAGCATCGCACTGGGACATCACACCGAATCGGAGCATGCGTCGGATCGGGCCGCACCGGCACGGAGTCGAGCTCGAATCGGGCCGGCTGCGTCAGGATGCACCGCGGCGCCAAGCGAGCATCGGGTAGCCTCGTGCCATCAGAATATCGGAATCCACACGGATCGAGGCAGCTGGAAAAGATGTCGGACCAGACCGATCGGATCAAAATGGACCCTGGCGGGGGCAGTGTGGCATCGTCGGTGCATCATTGGTTTACTCTGGTGTATGTCTTTGGGTGTGCTCAGCCGTAGATGAATAAGGATCGTCACGTCTCGAAGCCACATCCACGATTATCAGGGCAGACAAAGGGGAGGATGGCAAAGGCGGGTTAGCGAATCAGCTAGTTAGCGTAGCTGGTTGCTCTGGCGCCTCCCGGCACCAGAGATGCCAATGCACAGAGGAACACGCCTGGCTACAAGGGCCGAAACCAGCTGCATGCAGCAGATCTCGTATACCTCCTTTCTGTATCTCCCCCTTCGTATGACCCGAGATTAGAACAAATGCACAAATTCAAAATGCAGCGGCACACGGCGAATGTCATCGTCAGGCCCAGGCGAGACAGCGGCGCGGTTGTGAGGGAGAGGACGGGCAAGACAGTTCGAGAAGTGAGAGAGCCTGGAGTAAGCTGCTGCGCCTGGGTGGGCGGCAAAGATTGTAGCCTCACCGAGGGTATCTAGAGGAAGAACAGACTCTGCAGAAACACACACACACACACCACACACACATACACACCACACACACACACACACACACACCACGCACACACACCACACACACACACACACCACACACACCACACACACACACACACACACACACGACCGGAGGTCCGCGCGGATTCTCTTGGATCGGCACTGGGCCCCCATCCCTGGCGCCCCGAGCGCGAAAGGGCCGGCGCCGCAGGCACCCCCGGGGGGGCCGAATTCCGATCCAAGACATTGTGTGTGGACCCCCAGAAAGATCCACATGTGTGCAAATGTGCTCCTGCAGATGTGATTTCCTCCTCCTCCTCCTCCTGCCCCCTTTCCGTCTCCTCCTCCTCCTCCTCCTCCTCCTCCTCCATCCTCCTCCTCCCCCTCGTTCCCCCCCTCCGACCTCCACTCTGACCTGCCTCCTCCTCTCTCTCCTCCTCCTCCTCCTCCTCCTCCTGCCCCCTTTCCGTTTCCTCCCCCTCACGGCCTGAGAGACTGCGCGGTCTGGAGCAAGGAGAAGTCTGCGCCGTTGAGCACGGCCTTGGCCTGGGCACGGGAGGCACCCGCGGAGGCAGCTCGCGCCCCGCAGCGGTCACCCCGTGGGTGACCCGGGAGGTGCGAGGCGGGAGTACCGTCTGTTCTGGCTTGCAGCGGAAGCACGGATGGACTTGTGACATATTCAGGAAGGAATAAACACACACAGGCACCATTCATCGTCGATTCCCCCAGAATATATGGGAAAGTATGGGAAGTGGGGGAAGACAAAAACCCATAACATATGAGTAAATGTAAGGGGAATCCTGTTATGTGTGTGTATCTATTTGTGTGTCCCAGGGCCCCTTGATATATGTCTCTAGCATCCCCCCTTACAGCTTGCCCGAGGTGTTCTCACCTGCTTGTGGGAAGCTCGTGAGCGCCGGGCCGAAGCGGCCGCCGTCCCTCGGGGCTACCCCGCTGCAACAGAAGAGGAGCAAACCACATAAACATTAACTTTTGGCGCGCCGCGCGGATTTCTTGGATCCGCGCGGAGCGCCCAAAGTTTCTGCTTGCGTGGTTGTCTCGTTTTCGATGCCTTCGTACTCCTCCTCCTATCCTCCTCCTCCTCCTCCTCCTCCTCCTCCTCCTCCTCCTCCTCCTCCGCCTCCTCCTCCTCCTCCTCCTCCTCCTCCTCCTCGTCTTCCACCTCCTTCCCCCCTCAACTTGAAGTGGTGGTGGTGGAAAACAGGCCCGTCAGCCGTCCCTCGGGGCAGCCCCGCTGCAATAGAAGAAGAGAAAACCACATAAACATGAACTTTTGGCGCTTCGCGCAGATTCTTGGATCCGCGCCGGACCCCCCATCCTGGCGCGCGGAGCGCGCCAGGGGCGGCGCCGGAGGCGCCGCCAGGGGGGCCCAGCGCGGATCCAAGAAGCCCGCGCGGAGCGCCAACACTTTCTGTTTATGTGGTTTGCTCTGCTTCGATGCAGGGCCTTCCTTGGGCTGCTCGGCCCTCCTCGGTGGTGGTGGTTGACTACCTACCAGGCCACCCCAACCCAACCCGAAGACCCGAATTTGACCCGAATTTCGGGTTGGGGGGGGGTACGGGTTCCATGTGTTTTTCCAACGTTCCCCGACCCCCCCCCCACTGGAAATCGAGGATAGATTTGGACCTTCGGGTTGGGTTGGGGTGGTTTGGTGGGTGGTGAGTGGTGGTGGTGGTGGACAACAGGCCCGTCGGCCGTCCCTCGGGGCTGCCCCGCTGCAGGGCCTTCCTTGGGCGGCTGCTCGGCTCTCCTCGGGCGGCCCCCGGCTCGCCCAGGCCGCCCACCTCGCCCTGCCTGGCTGCCGGGTGTTTGTTGCCGGGTACTTTGCCCTGCGGCCGGGTGGCCGCCTTGCCCGGCTGGCCAGGTTCCCTAGTTTTAGGTCGGGCCTGTCCCCCTGTACAGGGGGATCTTGGACGAAAATTAAGGAATGCCCCAAAACAATAAAAACTAATCGAAAAATCGTCCCCATCTTATTTTGGGACTATTTCTGACTATCCCTCCTGTAGAAGGACAGGCCCGGCTTAAGCCCAATTGTCTGGTTACCCAATGGTCCAATTGCCCAGGTTGCTCGGGTGCTCGGGTTGCCTGGGCTCCCGCTTGCCAAGCGACGCAAGGCAAAGCCATGCAAAGACCAAGCAGCGCCGAGCAGCGCCAAGCAGAATGCAGAACAACGCTGAGCAATGCCAGGAAGTGCCGGGCAGTGCCGGGCAATGCCAAACAATGCACAGCAAAGCGAAGCAACGCCAAGAAATACAATGCCAAGCAACGCACATCAACACAAAAACGCCAAACAACGCCACGCAGTACCAAGCAACGCAAAGCAACGTGAAGCAACGCCAAACAATGCCAAGCAGTGCCAAGCAGTGCCAAGCAATACCGGGGAATGCCAAGCAATGCAAGGCAACGCCAAGCAAAATAATGCCAGGCAGCGCACAACACCACAAAGCAGTGAGCATCATTGCAAAGCAACGCGTAGCGACGCCAAGCAACAACAAGCAATGCAACACATTGAAATGCAGTGTGAATACATTCCGCCCTGGCGAATTTACTGACTCAGGACGCTGTACCCTAGCCTGGGTCGCGCCACATTCATATATATATATATATATATATATACATACACGCGCGCGCTCGGCGCGCGCTTAGGTTCTAGCGCAGACCAGGCAGCACCGCACGAACGCACACGCAAAGACAACCAATTGTAGCTTTGACAGTACTGGGGCCTATTCTGCTGTAGTGAACTTCAGAAAGCGTCCTGTAAACTTCATAAAGCAAACTGGGGTCTGTCGAGGGCCACCTGGGGGGCCATTTTGGGTCATTGAGGACCCCTGTTGTGGGCTCTCTGGTTCCTCCGAAGCCGTCTTGAAATCGTACGGAACCGAACAACGAGCAATACTACAACGCGCCGACACAATAGTTCAAGAATTCGTCGCCGTGCTTGAACGGCAGTGGCGTGCTAGAGTGGCAATGGACTGCGTGGTTGGTTTTCTGCATTCTTCGTCGGCACCCTCAGTGACCTCTTTTGAAGCCCTCTTGGGGTCCTTTTAGGCTCTCTCTGGGCGATCTAAAAGGTCTCTTGGGCCGCCTTGAGCGGTCGGCAGCCGGGCACGCCGAAATCCTGCAAAACACATGGGGAATCCATCATTTCGGCATCAAGGCCATCGCGGGCCATCTTAGAGGCAGAGCGGGCGAACTTGGAAGCCTCTCGAACCCTCTTAGGCAGTCTTGGATGACAACTTCAATTGGCGAGGGCCAACTTGGAGCTATGTTGGACTGTCTTGGTGCCGTCTTGGGCCGTATTTGGGGCATCTTGGGCCATCCTCGGGTCCTCTTGGGCCGTCTTGGGGCCCTCTTGGGGCTCTCTTGAGGGGCCATTTGGGCCGTTTCGGGCCAATGGAGGCCTCTTGGACCGCCTTGGGCGGTCGGCAGCAGAAAATGGCGAGAACGCCAAAATCAGTGAAAAACATGTTGATAATCAATGTTTTTGGTTTCGTCGAATCCGCCTGAAGCGCCGTTTGAAGACCTCTTCGGCCGTCTCGGGGGCCTCCTTGAGCCGTCTTGAGGCCATCGTGGGACGTCTCAGGGCCATCTTGGGCCTTCTTGGAGGCATCGTGGACGAACTGCCAGGCCTCGTGGACCCTCTTGGGCCGTCCTGGAGGCAATCTTGAACAGACCTGGGCCAACTTAGAAGCCATCGTACCCGTATTGAAGGCACCTCGGCCGTCTTTGAGGCCATATTAAGACCGTCTTGGGCCACCTTGATATCGTCGTGGGCCGTATCGGGGCCCTCTGGGGGGGCTTGTTCTGTCTTGGGGCAAACTTGAAGGCCTTTTCGGCCGTCTTGGTCGGAAATCCAGAACGCCCAAATCGTTGGAAAATCAGTGAGCTTCGCCTCTTCGAGCCCTCCCGGAAGGCCTCCTGGAGGACTCCTGTGCTGTTCTGGGGCCTCTGGAGCCGTCTTTAAGCCACCTTGGATCGTTCTCGTGCCATCTTGGCCGTCTTGGAGACATAGCGGACGAACCTGGACGCCACTTCGGCCCTCTTGGGGCGTCTTAGATGCCAACTTCTATTGGCAAGGACCAACTTGGAGCCATATCTGACCGTCTTGTGGCCGTCTTGAACCGTCATGGGGGGCGTTTCTTTGGCAGTCCTGGGGTCCTCTTGGGCCGTCTCGGGGTCCTCTTGGAGACCACCTGGGCAGTTTGGGGGCAATCTTGGAAGCCTCTTGGGCAGCCGTGGGCGGTCGGCAGCCGGAAAGGCGAGAACGCTCAAATCATTCAAAAAAAATAGAAGTGCATGTTGTTGGCTTCGTCGGGTCCTCCAGGAGGGCTTCTTGGAAGCCTCTTCGGTCGTCTTGGAGGCCTCTTGAGCAGTCTTAAGGATACATATCGCGGCCCGTCTGTGGGCAATCTTGGGACGTCGTCGGCATCTCCGAGGGCATCTTGGAGCTCCCTTGGGTCGCCTTGGGCTATCTTGGAGGCGTTCTGGGGCGTATTCGGGCCTCTGGGCCGCTGTAGGAGAGTTTCGAGGCCGCCCAGGAAGATACGACAAAAAAGTTGGACGCCCGAAATGGGCACACGGAGAAAATGGGTACACTGCCGAACAGCAAATGCTGTCCACCACCGACAGCGACCGCTGCTGCGCAGGCGGCTTCTTGTCTGTGAAGAACACTGTCCGCGGCGGCGCGGACGGCGAGTCGGGCTCAAAATGAACAGGAACTGCTGTTGGGCATTGTACCCGTTCGTTCCGTACCCATTTCGATCGTCCCGGAGAAAAAACAAAAAAAAAAAAAAAAAAATGTTCCGTCAGGGAGCGTCGGGGGGGCGCCACCCCCACCGGCAGCCCCACTTCGACCCCCGTCGCGGGCAGCCACCGCGCGCCAAAAGGGCGCTCCGACCCCCGTCGCGGCGCGGCGGCGAGGCGAGGTTGACCCCCCGTCGGGGGGTACCCCCCCACGCTTGTTGAGAAACCCAGAAATTGGGACGCCCGACATGGGTACGGAAAACATGGGTACAATGCCCAACAACAAATGTTGTCCCGAACCAACGGCGGCCGCTGTTGGGCAGGCGACCTTCTGTCTCAAATGGACACAGGCCGCGGCGGCGCGGACGGCGAGTCGGGTTCAAAATGGACAGGAACTGCTGTTGGGCATCGTACCCGTTCTTTCCGACGTTCGTGCCGAAGAGTACTCCGAATCTCATAACAATGGGGGGGGGGTCTGCTTCTGGGGGGGATCTCACGGGCTTCGTCAAACACATTTGTGGGGGGGTCTCGATTTTGGACCTTTTGTTGCCTGTCTTGGGGGGGGGGTCCCAGACCGGCCGCCAAACACTTCTTTGACCCCCCCCCACGATTATGAGATTTGGAGTACCCACAGTCATCCGACCCATCGTCCTCGTCCTCGTCCTCCCTCTCCTCCTCGGCATCGCCCTCGCCCCCTCGCCTGGGCCCCCCCCCGGCCCTGCGCGCACGCGTAATCGAGCCCGCCGCCCCGCGAGCGCCACTGCGGAGCGGAGACGTATGCAGCCCGCGCTCCCGGCGCCTCGTGCACGGCACGGCCGGGCTCGGCAAGCCGCCGCGGGGGAGCAGCGGAATCGGGAAGACACAAATCGGCATACAGTCGAGGCGTTGACCTAAGGAACCCCTAAGTAAGGAACCAGGCGCCTCTTGTCCATAGGATACACTTCTATGTCCCATCGAAAATGTCAAGAAAACCTTTGGCAAGGTGTGGAACAATAATAAAGGAATACCGAGCCCCTCCCCGACGAAAAGGGTTCCTTCTTCGGCGCCCCGACTGTACAGTCAACCGGCATAATGAGGATGCGCAATAAGGATGCCAAGGGCCCCGGAGGCCCCTGCTGACGTCTTTCGAACGGGGCTGGCCAGCGAGAGTCGCCGAGGAGGGGCCGAAGGGGCCAGGATGCAAGGGCTGATGGGCCTGTTTTCCACCACCACCACCATAAGCTGGAGGGGGGGAGGAGGAGGAGGAGGAGGAGGAGGAGGAGGAGGAGGAGGAGGAGGAGGAGGAGGAGGAGGACCCCTTCCCCCTCCAACTTATGGTGGTGGTGGTGGAAAAGAGGCCCATCAAGGGCACCCTCGGGCAAGTGGCCCCTCCTTACTGCGCGGGTGGACTCTAAAGACCAAGAGGTGCCGGAGCTCCGCGCGCGGGTGCTCACGAGAGTCGGCGCTCGGAGCGCGCAGCGCGCCGGGGGAGCGGCGCCTGCAGGGGGGGGGGTCCCACGCCGAGCGGAGAGGTCAGCGCGGACAGCCAAGAAAGGTGTGTGCACCCTGCGAAATGCTTAAGAAATCATGGGTTAAGAAATTCATAGTCTCAGAACTTGGATAAAAACCCAACATTTCCATTGAAATCTTAGGATTCACATTGAAACATTAAGAATAATCGAGATTCTGGCCGAAAACTTGGGTTTTCTTAAGCATCGCCTGGAGTGCATGCAGCGTGTTCTTCTTCGAGGACCCCCCTCTCCTCCAGGGAGCCCGGGATGACGACACACCACCATCAGGGTCAGTGGGACAGAGGGGGGGCCTCGTGATCGCGCAGTGCCGCTGATGACTGATGTTCGGCCTCCCGCTCAGGACGTCTCCAGGCACCAGCTAGGGGAGGCATCGTGGACCTCGTTATCCTCCTCGCTGGCGGTGGCCCTGGTGGTGGTCGAGTCGCTGCTCATTCTCCACCTCCTCCTCCTCCTCAATCCTTTGTCGACTTAGATAACTCCTCCTCGCCTGACCACCAGACGTGTCTCTCGGGCGGGCTAGTCGTTTCACCTCAGCCTTACTCCCCGTGTATGACCCCGAAGCTTGAAATATCCAACAGCTGCACGGACGGAAGGGGGTCACTATCAACGTGTGGCTCTCGCCTGAGAGCCGCGCACATTCGTCTGAAGCTTCAAGCTGCTACACGAAGAAAGGGCGGTGTCAGTTCAAATAAGTGGCTCTCGCCCTATCGCGTCACACATTCATCTTCAAAGCTTCCAACAATTACACGGATGGCGGGTGATCGTTTTTGAAATGCAATGTTCGCCTTCACGCCGAGGACGCTCGTCGTGACGATTGCAAACAGGTGCACAGATGGACTGCAGCTTCAGCTTCGGCGCAGCATGGTCGTTCAAGACCCCCCTGTGACTCTGCCACCACGGATCCAAAAGCCTGCAACGGCTGCACGATACGGACGGCGGCTCCTTCAGAGATCGGGCTTCGCGCCCGAGGCTCCCCTGAGGTCGCACGTCCACGCGTGCAGAACAAAACAAATACACGGGCTGAGCGCGGCGTTTTTGTTCTCGACGCGGGGGCGTTCGCTGGACGCTCCTCTGGAACTGAACCCGAGGATGCTGCCCCGGCGCGGCGCTCACGGCCAGCTGCGCGGACGGTGGACGGCGGCCTCGCCTCCAGACGGGGCGATCGCCCGCAGTGCAGGACCAGGGGGCGATCGCCCTTCAAGGGGGGAGGCACTCCCCCGTAGTGGCACGGAGCCGTGCAGGGGCGTGCGAGGAGGGGGCGTTTAGGACGGGCTGGCGTGTTACAGCATCGTGCATGCACCCTGGGCTCCTGCTGGCATCTGCTCCTTGTCCTCCTCTTCACTCTCGCCCTTCTGATCATCGTCAGCACCTTTCCGTTCACTCGCTGCGCGAACCTTCCCGAGGGCGTCCACCTCGCTGGCCCGCATCTCCTTGCGCACGTCGTAGTACTTCAAGAGCCAGTCGCACTCCTTGCCACCCCGAGCGTTGCAAGTTCGCTCGACACAATTCCATATGCCCAATTGTGGTTACAAAACCTCGACTGCGTGGAAATGAGACGTACAACATGCACTTGAATTGCAACGACTAACCATTGCGATCGACAATGAAGGCACGAGTGCATGAGTCGAACAAAGAACAACACCACAACACCAGGCGCACAGATGCATACAGAATCGCACTCCCACGGAGGCCTTCTCCCGAGCCTTTCCAATAGAGGCCTCCACCCAGGCGGCTTAGGACCTGGGTCTTCCAGCCCCCACGGATCTAGATCTAGATCCCATGTCTAACGACCCCTCGGGTCTAGATTTAGACTCCTAGACATGGATCCCCCTGCCACTCGTCGAGATCTAGACCTGTGTCTCAGGCCCCGTCCACAGCCCCGATTTGTCAATCTCTAGACCTAGGTCCTCCCCCCTGGCAACAGCTCCCTGCATCCCCCAAGGCTCCTTCTCCTCCTCCTCCTCCTCCTCATCCTCCTCCTCCTCCTCCTCCTCCTCCTCCTCCTCCTCTTCCTCCTCCTGTGTTCCCTACATGCCCGTCTCGCTTGCCCACAAAGCCTTTCTCTGTCTCTCATCCATTTGTCTGGTCGTGGTCACATGTGCCACTTGTCAATCTGCAATCGTAGAATCCCATTCGCCCTCTTGCCGTGGGTCGTTTACAAAACGAGCTCTTCAAGACCCCCCTCCTTCTCCTTCGGGAAGGAGCTACGCCTGCTTCTACTCTGGGGCTCTCGGGGATATCGCGAGGGGTTGCAAAGCCAAAGATGGACACATATTGCTCAAAAAGTCCCAAAGACAGCCCAAAGACGCCTCGAGGTGGTCAAAATCATGTTCTCAAGACCGCAAGGCGGTCGGTTGCCCAAGAGACCCCCAAGAGGGGTCACGAGGGCCCCGAGACAACCTTGAAGTTCGCAAGAGCACCCCATGGTCATGGCTCCTGCCAGGGTTTGGGAGGAGCAAATTCAAGCCGCATCCGCTTTGACTGGTGACCCCCAGGATGGCCCCAGGAGGTCCTAAAAGGATACCTGAAGGGCCCTGAAAGAGCTCAGAGAGAACCCCGAAGCCTTCCAAAAAGGCTCCAAGAGAGCCCTATGAAGGCTCCGCGAGGCCTCCAAAAGGCTCCCACGGGTCCCACCAAGATGGTCATCGTTGGGATCTGCTCGAACTAACACCATCTTCGGCCAGACCGGTGTCCCCAACTCTGTGCTTCCCTTGTGTGCCCCCCCACGCTGTCCTATTAACGATGACTCGCCCAGGGGCCGCGTCTGGCTGGGCCAGTGTGACTTTTTTTGTTTTTTTACAGCCGCAGGCGGAAGCGCCAGCGGCGGGAGGTCGCGGGCGGGCTACGACCGCGGCTACCAGTGAGAATGCGCGAAGCGTCAAGAATTGCATCTTCGCCGACCCCAAGGCCGTCCGAGGAGACAGCACCTCCGAAGGCCGACCGAATCGACCGTGGAACCGAAACCGACCGAGACCGACAGGCCAGGCCGCAGGCAGCCTAAAGGGCGCAGCGACTCGGCAACGACCCCACAGCCTTCGGCACTCCTACATGTGCGCTGGGCTCTTGTGCCGTTTTCAACTCGGCGCGTTGGAACTCTGCTGCTTGAGCGTTCTCCTCCTCCTCCTCCTCCTCCTCCTCCTCCTCCTCCTCGGACCTCTCACGGGGCGCGTGCTGGCCAGGACTTCGGGGCGAATCCGGCGGTAGCGACGAGGGCCTCCGAGGAGGCCCAGAAAAAGGGGAGGGCGGGCGAACGGCAGCGGTATGGGCGCCTGCCTCCTCCGAAGGATCGATCCATCTTGGCGGTGGTGCGGTGTCTTGCCCCCACGGGCACGGCCGCTAGGCGGAGCAGGCGTCGAACCAGCGCCCAGGAGAGCCCAGGCTCCGCTCCCCGCTCAGGTCGGCGGGAAGCCGACTCGGACCCTCCGCGGGCGTCCGGGACGTCAGCGCCACGGCCAGATCCGTCCTCTTGGCGAGCGAAGGACGGTATGGACTGCCTGCCAGACCGCCCCCACTAAAGCCGAAGACCCGAATTGCGGGCTTGGGGGGGGGGCACGGCTTCCACACGTGTTTTTTCCGATGTTCCCCGACGCCCCCCCCCCCCCCCCCCACTGGGAATGGAGAGCAAGTTGAGGCCTTCGGGCTGGGTTGGGGTGGTTTGGTGGGTGGTGCAGGTGAGCCCAGAATCGAATCGGCAAGCCGGATCGGCGATCGACACGAATCGGATCGCCGGAAATCGGCAGCCGAGTCGGGAAAAGTCGAATCGGCAGACATCGGCAGGCTAGTAGGCCTCCATTGAGGAATCGGAGTCCACATCGGAATCCGAAGTAAAATAAAATCGGAATTGGAGGCCATCGACATCGAATCGAATCGAATCGGAGGCATCGAAATGAACCTTGGTAGTGAGGTATCAGATAACCTTTTCCGCCATCGGGGACGCCTGTCCCACTGCGCCTGGAAAGTTCATACCCCCAAGGTGGCAATCTAAGAAGGGAGCCTCAACTTCCCAGCCGCCGTGGAACGGGTGCCTCCAATGGTGGGCAACTCTATGTCGTGCACTTATTCGCCCGCTGACTCCTCCACTTCCTGTACGCCCGCTCTGCCTCCCGCGTCTTCCCGAGAAGACGCACCGGCACGGGCATGAGCCGTCGGAGGTCCGCGCGGAGTTCCGGGGCCGGCGCCGGCGCCGTGCCAGGGCGGGGCGCCAGGCGCCGACCTCGGAGATCACAGCTGACCTCGGAATAGGGACATGCCTGTGCCGGTGCGTCTGCTCGGAGTCTTGAACCCGTTGTCTCGGAACTCCTGAGGAGGCAACTGCTGGGAGGTGTCCGTCGGAGGGGGGGCTGTTACGCCAGAGTGGGCCTCGGATCAAGCGGGAGTAAGCCAGATCAAGCGGGATTCAGCGGGATTGAGCCGGATTTAGCGGGATTTCGGACAAGGGCTAAGTCAGAATTTGACCTCCCAGGGGTTGCATCCGAAAACTCCTTGTAGTCCGAGTCCGTGCGCCCCGCCCCAACGATGACGATGAACTGCAAGGGCACATAGCCCGATACCCAGCCTTGCGACCGCAGGGCGGCGACGTGGAGGGCATGGTCGTCGCCGTCCATCAGGAACTGCAGCTCGTTCAGACATCGGAGAGAAGTAGGACCGTAGGACCAGAGCTTCTCGGATGCGCCGAAGATGGGTGCCGGGAACAGCGGGGTCAGCGCATCCTGGCCCGAGGACGAGGTAGGGCCAGAGGCCGTGCTGAAGGAAGAAGCGGGGGCCGTGAAATCTGGGAGACTGCACGGCCCCAGTCCTGGTACCCGCACAGGGGCACACAGTCCGTTCCCCTCTCTTCAACGCCCCCGAGTTCGGGAGACTCAACGCTGCCCGACGGGGCCGTGGGGCACACCACGGAACCTAACATGTGATCTGACGCGGACTGCCGCTGCGAAGCGCCTCGCGACAGCTCGGCCGCCCGCGCCGCGCCTGGGTCGTCCAGGAAGCGGTGGCAGGCCCACGAGCTCTGGCAGACCGCTGCCCTACGTCTCTCCGGAGATAGCCCATGCGCCTGAACTTGCTTGCGTTGTACAGCAGGGGCCCTCGGTTGCCCGTCGGCCGCACGAAGAACGTGCCCGACTTCGCCACGAGCTCGGGGGAGAGCGGCACGCGCCTCTCCGGCACGTCACACCGGCCCACCTTGCTGCCGTTGAGCCCCGACCATCCGTGCGCGCAGTTGGCGGATACGCCGAAGACGTCGTCGTAGAGGCGCGCGGGAAGTGACAGATGTACGTTCCACCCGATCTGGGTGATCACCCAGTCGTCCTGCATGATGATCAGGAACTTGCCTGCGGCCAGAAGCGCGCCCCTGTTGTTCGAAGCCGTCTCGTACACCGCAGGCGTCTGGTCGACCAACACCGCGCGCCTCAGGGAACCACAGCGGCGAAAGAATGCATCGCCGCAGGTGGCGACACACATCTCCCGTACAGGCTCCCAATAACGCGGGTTCGACTTCTGAACACTTCTGTCAAAAACGTGACCAGTGACTTTCTTGAGAACTTCGGGACTGCACGCATCGGCGCTCCTGCTCCAGACTATCGGCAGATAGGTGTCGAGAGCCTTCTCGGCACGTTGTAACGTTTTCGTGTTGCAGCCATCGCAAAAACAAAGCAGCTCAAAAGACCCTCTGGGGGTAATCATATACGATGCCAGAACAGTCATCAGATGCTTGTACCGGTTGTGTATGTTTACAATTAGGCTGTACTCGACGGGCAGATCGTTGGGCTTGGCGTCTTGGGCCTTCACATAATACTCTCTTGCACGTGGCTCTGGCTGTCGCTCAAGATCAGGGGGGATTGCGTTCAGCACCATTCGCCCAGCCTGAGCAGATAAGTTGAGCACCTGCCAATCAGACTTCACGATTTCGGGCTTGGACTCGTGCGCCTGTTCAAGGCTAGCAACAGGATCGCCGCTCCTACTTTCCTCAGTCTGCCCCAGGCGGGATTGCGGCAAGACTGGCTGCGAAGAGGGCGGCTGCATCTCACGTGGTGCCTCGACTGGCTGTGAAGAAGGCCGCTGTGCGAGGGTCGCCGAGTCGAAATGAAGAGGGTCGCTGGATGGACGTGGAGGACAAAGCACGCAACGTCCTTCTTCACAACAGGTGGCTTGAAGTGAAGAGGGCCGCTGAGTCGTGGCCTGTTGCCCGAACGACCGTGGCGGCGCTGTCTGCGAAGGCCGTGGCTGTCCAGAAGACGGCGCTGCTGCAGTGGCTGCGAGGTGGGGCATTGAGAATCCATCGCTCCTTGCCCACCTGTGCGGCCCTCGCTGCAGAACCAGGACGATGGCCGTAAAACCTGCCCAACAGAGAAAAACGAATAGGCACACCTTCGGCAGAAGGGAGGGCATTGTGCAAACAAAGAGTGGCCATCTGAGGACGCGTGGCGCCCGCCAGAACAGACCCTTTTGCCTTCGAGTAGTGAGCCTGTCGAAGTCACAGAGTGCCTCGAACAAGTGCGACTTGAGCCAGGATGGCTACGACGGTTGCGAAGCAGGAGAAAAGAGCAAGGAGTGGAAAAGGTGGATGAAAGGAGAAGATGAAGGAAATGAGGAGAGGCGGGAGGGAGAAGGAAGCTGGAGTATGAGTTTGAGGGAGGAGAACGGTGATAAGGAGAGAGAGGGAGAATTTTTTTTTCTAGTTGGTTCCTGACACTGCGGGGATCGTTCAACCTTGAAAGATCGGCCGTTTCCGAAAAGTCAGATTGTTCAACATCGACCGTTTCTGGGTCGCCGGCGGCGTTCAACGTTGAACGCTGGCGGCGGGGTGGCCGCTGGTCGACACGACGCGAAACCACCGTACGCTACAGGGAGGAGGAGGGCAAGGGGGCCATAACGCGCACTACGGCCCAAGCACGAACAACACGCCCGAATCCATCGCTCCTTGCCAAACTATTGAAGCCTGGCTGCAGCACCAAGACGATGGCTGTGAGTGAAGCCGAACAGGTCGGGTCGACCGCACAATCGATGTTGTGCGGCACAGCGCAGCCGAGGCCTCCCATACCCTCTTCTTCTTCGACGACCCCTCCTACTCCTCCTCATCCTCCTCCTCCCCGCGGCCGTGTGAAGCGAGTGGATGTACTTGAGCGTGGTTGCAAGGTTGGTGTTGGCCTCCTTCAGGTCGCCCTTGTGCGACTGCAGGTCCCCCTCGAGGCTCGCCTTTACGGCACGCCGAGGATGCTCGAGGCTCGAAGTTCGTGGATCGACGGTTCTAGGATAAGGGAGACATGCATCAGCATAACCTGTCGGAGATCCGCGCGGATTTCTTGGATCTGCGCTGAACCTCCCTGGCGCGCGGAGCGTGCCACGGGCGGCGCCAGAGGCACCGCCAGGGGAGTCCAGCGCCGATCCAAGAAATCCACGAGGACCTCCGAACTTGGTCCTTTTGTCCCCATCTTCTCGCGCTACTTTTAGGTCGGGCATGTCCTCCTACAGGCGGATTCTGGACGAAAAGTATAAAAAAGTCGAACATGAAAACATCAAAATCGTCCCCACACCAGTTCCTGACTATTTGGGGCTATTCCTCCTGTGGAGGGACACGCCCGACTTGACGCTACTCTGGAACCCACCGGGCCCCCTGGGCCTGGTGAGGGGCTGCTCCGGGCACCACCCGGCCCTCCCTGCGAAGCCTGGGGCCGCCTTGGGCCAGGGCCCCACTTGGCCGCACCTGAGATTTGGGAGGCCACTTCTGGCGACGCGCACGAGGGGGAGGGGGGAGTGGGGGGGGGCTTCTTAGAAGGAGGCTGCTTCTTAGAGGGCGCTGGGCCTTACATCTATCGATCAGGCCCGCGCCTTCTGAGCAGCAGGGGTGCTTCTACGAAGCCCTCCCCCCTCCCCCCACCCCCCTCTGCGCGCGGCTGACACTTCCTGGGAAACCGTCGCGGGCGAAAATACGGCGGATCAACCCAAAATCAATGGGATGAGGCAACCGGCCAGAGGAGTCAGCCGGATGAGGCCAGACTGAGCCGAGCACTTAGCCAAAGTAGACGTGATTCAAGGGACACTGGGCGGAACTAGGCGGGGCTAGCCCAGACAATCACTAATGATGCACCAGCGCGACGCTGAATTGAATTTACCAAGAGTTGCATCTTAGGCTTAGGGCGTTTTTCTTCCCAGGCATTGGGGGCCTTTTTATCGCCGTGGCTGCAGCCGCCTCAAAACTCGGGTTCGAACGCGTGCCAGGACAGGTCCAGTAGCCTACTCGAGGGGAAGACGGAAGGCGATCTTCTTTCGATTGCGACGACACCACCGCGGTCCACGAGTACACGTAGGCCAGAATAAACGGTATAGAATTGTAAAGTTGGATGGTGTTAACATAGACTGGGCTCTGGCCCCACAGCGCGCAAAAGAGTACGTATGGTCGATCCCCCCGCAGCGAGCCCCCCTAGCGCCCAGAGCACGAATCCGCAGAATCGCTTCACTGAAGCCGCACGCTCGCTTCACTCGCGCCACTCACCCATGAGCCTGCGATCCACGGTGACAAACTCATCCTCTCGGCCCATCCGTCACAGCCACTGGAGCCTCAGGTGGAGCGCCATGTGGGACCGCGAAACGTGTGAGGAGTGTGCCGAAGTGGGGGGATGGCAACATGCGGGCGCAACCACCGGGGCCTCAGGTGGAGCTCCCCATGTGGCCACACCAAACGTCCGTGGTGTGTGCCAGAAGGAAGTGGTGGCGGCATGCGGGCGCAGCCATTGGGGCCTCAGGTGTAGCTCCATATGGAGCCACCGAACTTGCGAGGGGTGTACCAAACTAAGGAGGCTGGCGGCATGCGGGTGCAACCTCTGGGGCCTTAGGTCGAGCTGCCTATGGGGCCACGAAACGTGTGAGTGCACCAAAATGAAGGGGGTGGCGGCATGCGGGCGCAGCCACTGGAGCCTTCGATGGAGCTCCCTATGGGGCCACGAAACGTGTGGGGTGTGTGCCAAAGTGAAGGGGGTGGCGGCATGCGGGCGCAGCCACTGGGGCCTTTGGTGGAGCTCCCCTTGTGGGCCACGAAACGTGAGAGGCGTGTGCCAAAGTGAAGAGGGTGACGGGAGTGCCGAATTGGTTGACATGCGGAAGGAAGAGGCAAGGGTGGGAGGAGGGAAGAGCAGGAAGAGGAGGGGAGGAGAGGTGGGACGCGGGGATCGCCTCTTCAAAACGAGGACCCAATGGTTCAGGATAGTTGGCAACACATACGTTTAACGACCGACGTGTACGGCGCTGCGGCCAGCGCCCCAGCTGGAAAACGACAAGCGCGAACCGCTGGGCCACGGCACCCAGTGTACAGCCGGGTCAGATGAAAGAGAAGGGGGACAGCGCCCGGCATCGTCCAAAGACCGCGCCTGTCCCCGAGGAGCGCCGCGCACGCTCGTTCTCTAAACAGTTGCAAGAGCTTCACGGATGGAGGGCGGCTCCAGTCCAAAGTGTGGCTCT